CCGCCGACGGCGAGATCGCGGAGGCGGAGCTGACGACGTCAAGGTCTTGATCGATGCTTGATTTGGGGAACGATTTGGGGAGCTGACGACGTCGAGGTCTTGATCGTCGAGGTCTTAACCGTCGCGGTTGAATCGTCGGAAGGGTTTGGGGAACGTTTTGGGGATTTTTGTGAGAGCGTGAGTCTCGAAAAATGATCACGAGACACTAAAAAGAGATCACGGATGTTTTGCAAAAAAGTCCACAAAGGGGCATAATGCGTACGCATTATGCGTATAGGAAAGGTGTTGTATGTATTTATATATATATATATATATATATATATATATATATATATATATATATATATATATATATATAGGGAAAGTGAATCTAAGGTGACACCCTAGGCTCTCACCTAAGGACGCGGCCTAAAATCACATCATTCCCTAAATATTTTTTATGATCCGCTCCGTTGAACTTGATCTACACGTTCTTAAACTTAAACACACCAATTTTGGGGTGAACCCGTCGTTTTGATCATTCGTTGAGTCGTGCCAAAAAGTTCTATTCATTCGAAACCGTGTAAAATTGTGGCGAGTGGATGAAGGGTCAAAACACGACGGGTTCACCCTAAAAATTGGTTGTGTTAGGTTTAAGAACGTGTAAATCAAGTTTAACGGAGCGGATCGCAAAAAAAAAATTAGGAATGATGTGATTTTAGGCCGCGTCCTTAGGTAGGAGCCTAGGGTGTCACCTTAGATTCACTTTTCCTCATATATATATATATATATATATATATATATATATATATATATATAGATATATATATATATATATATATATATATATAGAGAGAGAGAGAGAGAGAGAGAGGATGAAGATTTGCTATTTAACAAAGCTCAAGACCGTAATATAGTGTTAATAAATTACAAATCCATCCCTAGAAATCTTTAACCCTACCTAAATTAGAAAAACTAAGTCTAAATGCGTGTAATCCAAATAGAAGAATCAATAGAGAAAATAAAAAGGAAATAACCCAAGTAATGAAAATAGAAGGAAATGAAATAGTTTTAACTCCTTATAAAAGTAAAAGCTTTAGAGAATACAATAATATCTTTGAATCATCTAGTTCAAGAAGACCTAGTTTTCAATTACCTAAACAATATGAAAACCCTTAATAAAATGTCATTTATGTAGACTAGAACAAATGATAGATTATCAAATATGGAATTCATCCATTTTTGAAATATTTGAGGAGCATCTTTTTAGTCCAAATGGCATAACATTCCACATATCATGACCATTAGGAATACCGAAAGCTATTAATTGTTTTGATAATTTATCTCTTATTTTTATTTGCCAAAATCCTGATTTGGTATCGAATTTACTAAAGTATTTGTTATTTTGTATTTTATGTATTAATGATTCTATAGATGGGATAAAAAATTCATCAAATTTTGTAATAGAATTTAACTTCTTATAGTTTATTACTATTCTAGCTTTTCCTCTAACTTCTTTTGCATGATTTCTTACTACAAAACTAGTACACATATATTCAGATGTAGCCGGACTTACTAATCCCAGATTTTCCCATTCTAAGACTTGTCTTTTATATTCTAAAATGTCTTATTCATCATATACTAAAGATTTCATTCTTAAGGTTCGAGTGTTTATCTTTAATTTTATAGACATATATCTAGGAACCTTAGAATCTTTAGACTCGGATGATTTTTTAATAAAAGAAATAGGCAAAAATATGTCAATGTTATGACCTAAAAAATAAAAATAAAAAAATGAAGACATTGTAACTCTAGAAGAAATTTTAAGTCCAGATGTTTGCAACATTACAACAAATAAATAAAAAATTAGAAGTAATTCAACAGTTTGATAAAACATTGAGAATAATAAATCAACAATTAGAACGAAAAAACAACCAAAAATAACAAATAAACCCAATAAAGAATCAACAACTTTATATTGGTCAAATATATTAAAAATAGATGAAAAGAAAAAGAATATATATATATATATCACCTTGGATTCAATCTAAGGTAGCGCCTTCAAAACTACATTATATGCTATCAAATTACTTGATTCACTCCGTTCATTATTATTTATATGTTTTGGATTGTATACAGACAAAAAATTAGGCATATTGGGTTGTAGTTACTTGTAAATTAAGTGATTGCAAAATTAACGGATTTACGACAATATAACTAAAGAGACAATGAACAATATATGTTAAAAGTATTTAATCATCATGATTTTTACTTTATAGATGTTTTGAGACATTTAGATAATAATGAATGGAGCTGGTCATCAATTGAAATAGTCTAATTTATGAATCAATGGGTGCCTCCCGTAGATTGAACCTAGACATCACCTTAGGAACACTTTTCCCATATATCGTGAAATAGACTAATCGACTAACCAAATTCATGATTGGCATCATACATTTTGTTGCAAACAACATCACATGTACATGGTGAAATTTTCACATAGTTAGAAGCTAAGTTGCATGGAAACTATACGGGTACCGATGCGGGTATGGGTACGGACACAACAAATTTGTGAAATGTAGGATACGGGGGCACGGCTACGCATACATGTCAAAATTAATAATTTACATGAGATCGTTATTATTTTTCAATTCATGTGCTATTTGAAATTAATTTCCTATTATATTTTTAAGTTTCTTTTATCTTTTATCATGTTGATTATTATAAATTGGAAAGTACTTTTTTTTAATTAGACGCTCAAACCACCCTTTTAAATCATAGTTTTTAACTTGAATATAGTCCGAAACAACCGGACTCATGTCGAAAGAGTTTTAGAAAATAATATATAGGTCCAAGAAGTGTAATAACAAGTATTTTAAATTAAAACATATATCATATAATTGAATACACGTTTGGGTAAATTTATGCATACATCCACGGAGTGTCCATAAAGTTTGGGTACGAATAAGTATCGGGTACGGGTACGGCTTCATGATTGAAGTACTCGGGTAATATAAGTTAGAAGTCTTCTAGAATATGAATCAAACTAGTTAATAGGGTGATTTTTCAAACAAGTAAATAGTCGTTCATTTTGCACATTACTCATATAATGATTAGAAAATATCTAAACAGTACAACTTTTCTATACATAGATGATGATGAGTGCAAATCATGATGGGTGGTGTCAATCATTATATCGAGTAGTTTATTGGGTCATCTCATGATAATAATCTCATCTCACCATCTTAGTTTATCATTTCTATATATAAAATAAGTGTTTATATATATATATATATATATATATATATATATATATATACTTATTAATATTATTATAATATAAATATATATATATATATATATATAGTAGAGAGAGAACGAGAGAGAAACGTAGTCAACTTAAGTGGACGTCCACTAAGTTTCTTAGTAATGATGATCACTGTGATTGAGCTACATTGTGGATGATGCCGCTCCGTTGAACTTGATCTACAATATTCTAAAACCCTAAGATACCAAATTTAGGGTGAACCCGTCGTGGTTTGACCTTCATCCACTCATATCAAGTTTAACGGTTTGCGAATGAATAGTACTTTTTTACATTGCTCGACGGATGGTCAATCACGACGGGTTTCACCCTAAATTTGGTGTGTTAGGGTTTTAGAATATGTAGATCAAGTTTAACGAACGGATCATCCACAATGTAGTTCAATCAAGTGATCATCAATGATAAGAAACTTAGTGGACGTCCACTTAAGTTGACATAAGTTTCTCTCTCTCTCTCTCTCTCTCTCTCTCTCTCTCTCTATATATATATATATATATATATATATATATAATATATATATAGGTAAAAGCTTATTGTCAACTTAAGTGGATAGGAATAAGTTATACACCACTTTTTAACGCGTGATAATTGCATTGGGATCCGTGATAGATATAGAAGAATTTTTTAAAGATTGTGGCATCTTTTGATGGCACAAAATCTTGAGACAAGATGATTGTGGATAAAAAAGTTTGCGTGATGAACAAGGCTCATATCACTTTAAGTGGATAGGAGTTTTACTCTATATAATATATTATATATAATATATAATTAATAGCCCACCTTAAAAGTCACATCAAAAGGTGTGGGACTCACACTATTTATCTATTGGTACCTCATTTGCTAAATGAGCCACCACCTTATAACTATCAAATCTATATATGTACAAGGAGGAAGAGAGAGAGATGTCTTAAGATGAGTATACTTGGTACTAAGCACAATTTTGATTCTTTGTAGTGATGTTGATGCTTTTCATCCACATATTTTAAGGTGCCCATCTAAAAATGATCCACACTTGATTATCCACTCTTTAGATGAGTGGATGAAAAGTGCCCACATCTCTACCAAGCATACTCTTATTCCTCTATATACATGTATATATGTATGTATGTAAATCTACGCACACTTGTTGAATTTTATTTCGAGAAACCAATACATATGTTGAATAGGGGTGTATTCATATCAAAACAAGGTTATACTAGAATGTTTGTGTCTTAAAGCTTTTGAACAATTATTGACAAAACTAAACATGTTTGCAGGATACAAATTTATGCACATTAAAAGTTCACAGTAACATCATAAACCCCATGGGTTTTCATCTTGCATGTACAACAGTAATATTCATGAAAAGCTGTGCATTTATTTAATTGAGAACGCTTACATACCTGAAGATTGCGGTTGACTCCCAGTTTATGAAGCATCGCATTACAAACTGTATATGACCTACGGGAAGATAATTGCCCCTCATGTTTTTCTGGAAATTTCAAATACAGATAACAGCTCAGAGCATACTTCAGAACAGAATCCCCAAGAAGTTCCAAACGCTCTAAAGAGAAATCCTCACAACATCTTAAAGTTGTGATTGCTTCCAAAATCTAAAAAAAAGAAAAAGCTTTCATTAAACATAAGAATGAATTCGGAAAATTTCCAAATATACTGGTATATAATGAATAATCACATACCAGGGTACTTGATATATAATGAAAATTTCCAAATAAACAGATAAAGCTTTCATTCAACATACCAGGGTACTTGATATACAAGAATCAGAAGACTGAAAAGCGATCTCCCTTCTCAGTTGACAGGCTAGCATTAAGGACTCCATCCGGTGCATTAAAGAAGGAAGCAAATACAGAGACTTCAGAACATCTAATGGTAAATTAATGTGAACTAAAAGTTCTGGAGGCATGTGCACATTATTTGGTGCCCTTTTTACATAAAGGTTGGCACTTTTTGTTTTCTTAGAAGCCGAGTTTCCTACACCAACATTACATGTTAGGAGCATACAATAGCAGATGTACAAAAACTAAAATTTGATAAGTAAAAAAACACTAAACTGTTAACTTTAAAATTTAAATAAACAGCTAACTTTATAATTAAAACAGTAAAAGATTTCATCTGGCTAGCAAAATGGCTTTTCAGATAATGACTTGAATCATTAATAAAAGGAACACGTGTAAATATTTACTACTTTTTTCACTGATGAACACAACAAAAGCACTGCATAAATGTAAAACTTGTACCTGAGATTCTCCGTAGTAGCACTCCTCAATATATATATAATAAAGATGGACCATGTTACATTAATTCAGGACAATACGACACAAAATATATATCCTAAAATACCAATACATTCTCAAAGAATATTATTCAAGCTTAAAAGTGAACCAAAAGAATGTAAATCTACTACTTGTTCGATAGCGCTCTGCCACATTGATCTTTAGCAATATCTCTAGTAAACTGCTACTGAATTTTAAAACTCACGTGAAATGGGGTGAATGATCAACTCCCAGTGCTGTCTGTTCATGGACTTTATAACTATTAGCATTTTCTAAATGAACCTAGACATCACTTAGTCATTAAACAATAACAAAGTATTTAGCCAAACACTTTGGAGCCGGTTGTAGAAATACAATTTCTCCATTTAGGTTGGTAATGGGCTTTCACTTTTGTTAAGTAAACACAGAGCAGTGAATATGAATATTAATTAGCAATTTGGCATCTTCTACAGGATCATTGGTTATCAAATGATCTCATCCGTCATGGACAAGAAAAAGTGCTTCTCATTCTGTCAGTAAGATGGGAATATTCCAGGATATCTTCAAACACTGGATAATTTACAGGTCATTCCACCACCAAATCAGAATAAGAGCACAAGTAGTTACCTAGTCTGGAGGCAGTAAGGAGAATGGAAGCACTAAAAGTCTGTGAGGTTTATCAGATTAAACTTCTCCCAAGACATCAGGGTGAATGAGTTCATCAAGGAGATTAAATTGACTTGATTGATAAAAGGTTTGCTTTCTATGCATAGTCCAAGTAAGAGGAAGTAGCCAAAAGATCAATTGCTTATTTCTAACGAGCCAATAATGAGGAAATATTTTCATGCTATGAGCTTACATTATACATGTTGTCTTATTGTCAACATAGTTAGATTCAAAGCATATCCATTGGTAACTTTATCATTACAAATCATACAGACAGGAATAGATGCCAGCGTATGCTCATAGGAGAAAGAAGTTTTCTATTAGAAATAAAGTAGAGGGGAATGAGGAGAAATAAAATTGAAATTTTAGTTCCAAAGTAACAAATCATATTTGTCAGAAGACTTTAAGGTCTCATACCATAGCTCTTTATAACTTCCAAGTTCCAAATGCACGAGAATAAGTAAGACCTGATCTTAATCGAACAAACAAAACTAATCAGTTGAATGACAAACAAATCAAACTAAGAAACAAATGAACTGACTTGTAAACCATTCTAACAAATACTAAGTGAAAAATTCATCTATCAATTCCTTTTTTTCTCTTCTTGATCATTTTAACTCTGAGATATTCCCTCCGGTCCTATGCTTAGGGCGCATTTGATAGTCTGTAGTTGGAGAAACAATGTATCTCTAACTACATGCATAGTGCAGTTGGAGATGCAATCTAGTGTTTGGTTAGCATATTTATCCAACTACATAAAATTTTAAAATAATTTAATTATGATATATCAGTTTTAATGTAATTTTCACAATAGAAATACTAACAATAGAATTGGCATAAGCTTATGGCCTGTACATGTTTTTTGTACACACATAATCAAGACAATGTAAGCATAGCAAGCCTTATTCATTTACATGTTTCAGGTATCAAGTAAATTATCGGTTTATCTTGCTCTCTAATGCAAAGTATTAACAAATGACTATTGCATGAAGTACTGCTTATGTCAACATAATTATGAAATATAAATTAGTAGGAGTAACTAATACCTTATGCAAACAAACAACTTTATGGAATAAAAACTATAAGTAAAATTTTCAGGATCTGCTAAATAAAAAAAGACGTTGACAAAGCAAGCACAAAATAAACCTTCGAATTTAATGTTTGAAGATAGAAGATTGTGTGGATTATGGCTGTGCTTTAAAAGTAATAATGGTTGTCCTGGATGCTGAAGCACAATCCCATACCTGTATGAGTAGTACATCAGTTATGACGACGTAATTCCAGATTCCAATCAGGTGAATAACTATATAAGAAAACATTACGAAAGTGTCACCTACTTTTTGGAGAAGTACTCTGTAAATGTCGCAAAATCAGGTACCTCAAATGGACTATCAGCGGACATTCCGGCTTGTACATCAATAATGGAGTATAACTTCCCCGTATGGATTCCCATTACTACCATATATTTAACCTTTTGATAATGTACTGTTTTATTTGCCAGGTGAATCATGTCTAGTATACAGCTATCCGTCGCATCTGATTTTTCAGAAACCAGTGAAGCATCAACTTCGGCGTCACAAAAGTTCTTCGCTTTGGGCACATTGCTAGCTATTAAAAAATCAACCACGGAAGCAGCATCTCGGATCCCATTCCAGTTGATTCTTACAGTGTCTTGATCTTCACAAGGAGACACAAGGGGCAGAAGCATATACATATACGACATATTCCACAATAGGCTTCTATCTTCATTGAATAGCAGTTGTCGGGGTTCTCCTGATGACTTTGATCCTTTAAAAAGCTTCCCAAAGGCACCATTGAAAAACAGTTCGTGGAAGCGTTTTGCTTGCTCTACCTGCCATTAGATGTCAAATTATTAAGAGAAGCACAGAAAAAGAGACAATATTTTCATTCAGTAATCAGAGCCAGAGACCTGTTCCGCATCCAAATGAATTGACCCACATGGAGAGACAGAAGTTTTGACCATCTTGTCGACTAAGTAAAGATCAATTTCCACACAGGCAACATCTTTATCCAGCGCAGCATCGACCAGTAGAACAAAACTACTATATTTTTGCTCAGGTTTATTGCATAAGAAATTGAACTTATATCCCTGCAAAGTGACACCAACCTTTCGGTGCACCCAATCTCCTGATAAAGCAGATATGGGGACCGTGCCATGTAGTTCTTTTCTTTTTGTTGTTCCTTCATATAAAAATGGATAAGGAAAAATTACTTACATTTGCAAAAACTTGTCAAAAGTGGATGCACAATATAGCTTTTAATCCCAAAAATTATGCAGAGCTACTGAAACCAGGACTTAGAACTTGCCTGATACTTAGTCAAGTACAAGAAGTTACCAGGCACAAATAGTTCTTTTAGCAATTATTTTTATTGCACCCATCTGAGTGAATACATTTCTACAATAAAATATTATTAATGCTCTATGAGAAACCCATGTAAGAATAGGAAAAAGGGACAAATGTGAACAACTCCAAATGTGCATATTTGTAAAGTGAACGTGCACAAAAAATCATGTCTTGAGATTATCTCCAGTGAAATGGAATGAATCATAGCTACTATTCTTGAGGGAGGAAATATGATAAAACCCTCTGCTACATGGAAAAGGGTATGGGTATGGAGCATGTAATTTTTTAAACTGCATGTTGCGTCTTAGGAGCAAAATGATGAACAGCACAGGGTTCTAGTGAGAAAACCTCCAGAACCCCACACAACCTGGTGAACTGCGACATGATGTCAGGACCTTTAAAAGTACATACTATCACATAAGGTATCTGCTTAAAAAGTGTCTGGTACATAATAGTTCCAGAAAACCCCGGAGAGCATGTGTAAATAGAATTTTATAGGTGGAGCATGATTTTAAATATCGGCTGATAATCCGATATTATCGCCGAGTTATCGGATTTGGGAGATTTCCGCTAGGATAAGTAGGATTTTTAATCGGTTATCTTTTTTATGGGTTTATCGGCGAGTTATCGGCGATAAAAGCACTTATCGGCTGATAAGGGAGGCTAAAAATATCGGCTTTATCGGAGAGTTATCGTTTTTATGCAAGTTTCGCTTTCTACAATTGGTCAGTGATTCTAAATATGATTATTTACATTTTGGTATGTTTATATTTTATTAAGCATGGTTAGATTATATTTTTTGGTTATTATATTATATATATACACCATCCAGTATATCACTCCGGTAAATCTTACTTATCCACGATATATCCCCGATTTTCGCTATCCGAGAAGGATTTTGACCGTCCGATAAATCCCCGATAACCGATATTTAAAAACTTGAGGTGGAGTCACGGAAAAGTCCAGGGTTATGCATGCTCAGGTATTAGATTACTAGAATAAGAAGTCTCCGCTCAGAGAATTACAAAATGGATTTCAGTCACGTAGACGAATGTTCAAGAAAATATTACTAGATATCTGATCACAGCTAAGAGAAATTAATGAAAGAAAATCAATTGATAAAAACGAATAGGGGCAATATCTTGTTCAGTAATAATTATCAAGGATTTCCTTTTAAGAGTGGAAAGCAGGTTCTAATGCAAATTTACAAGTGAATATTGCTATCTATATAGACCAAACTCTGCATTATGGGAACTGTTGACTGACAAAATCAATTCCATGAACGTAAAAATATAAGGCAAAATGAACATCGATAGTAATTTCCAAAGCATAATTAAATGAATATCAGAAGTTGCCAACAGAAATCATGCTCACTTCCCACCTTTTCCGTAGAACTCTTCTGGGAGGGGGTTAAAAAAAAACATGCACCCGAAATATGGATACTGCCTACAGTAATTCAAGTTACACCATGCGCACCGAGTGCATAGGTCAAAATGAACTAGAAATTTTAAAACTAATGAATGGTATTTATATATTGAAAACGAATCAGGATTGCTCTCAACCAAATTTGTCGCACAGAACAAATTAAAATTGATTGCTTTAACTGTGATAAAAATAAAAAACAAATACATGTTACATAAATCCATTGTACAATGGGGAAAGAAAAAAAGATACTACCTGCACCAGCAGCAGATTTCTTATCTCCTTTACTCAGTTCAATATCCAGAGTCTCTTCAATAATAGGAACAAGATGATCATCAAGCGCCCCCAGTTGGTGCAGTTTTTTACAGGCATCCAAACATACAAGCTGCTTTGCTTTCTGATTATTTCGACAAAGCGGGCCAACTAACTTTTGAAAAGCAGCACCTGGAGGTAAAATTAATGTACACTCGGAAGATCCATCATGAGTATTATATTGAAAGTTTGGTCTAGGAGAGTAATACCTACAATAAAAATAAAATGTTGACAAACCAAAAGACACTTGCTCAAAAAAGTATAATATATCAAGGAAAACTCCAAAAAAATTAAGAGAGATTAAACCATACTTGTCTTTAGGCAGCTTTTCACAATATCTATATATAAGACCAACACTGGAATCAATTGTTATTGTTGCCCCAGTTGAATGAACACGGAATGCCTCCATCTCGTTATCCTTAGGCAATTTTCGGACGAGGGAAATAGAGTTTCTATTTAAAGCAGTATCCATCATCGAGTGCTCACTCCTGATGATACTAAATAACAAATCCCTTTGTTGAATGTTTCCCCTGCAAATGTTGCATAGATTAGAACCTACTCCTAAGCTTATTAACAAAGCCAGGTCTCTTAAGAGAGGCAAAAAAACTCTTCTTGCAAGTATTTGATATTAAAAAATAAGGATTATGTTTTGTACCCCTCCTATGATATAAGTTCATCTCCCCTAACTTTCATTTGATTAAGCATCCACTTGCAAGGGTTAAACCAAATCTACTGGTTGGCTAGGTCATAGAGGTATGTATGATCAACAAGGGTCATTTCATGAAGGGGTTTTTCACAAAACTGAGTGACAACTAGCAAATATGATGGCCTAAGTCGCATTTACCTTAAAATATTTTTTTAACCGCTTCTTAATGGAGAAGGGGTTCCAATTCTTCAATCCTTGTTCAAGTAGCTTAATTAGTCAAGTTGTTGAACCAAATCAAGTTCATGTTGTTTAGGATTTACAAAAAAATAATGAAGAAGATAATTCAGGAAAGTTGGTTCAACAATGCCTTTAAAAGTTACCTTGACCATTTTATCAATACGTAGTAACTTTGAACATATCTTCAGCTATTCCCTTGATATAATTTATACCTGTTTCAAATCCTTTCTCCACAAGGAGCAAGTTCACACAACCACCCAGAAGGCTTTGACAAGAAAACATGTTATAGTATAAAATTATAATTCTCAAACTTTACCACATCTTCTGAGTTTTGGAGTTGGGGAAGACACTATAAGATTGTAACCATACCCACATTTATTTGCTACCGGACACTCGTTTTAAAGCTGGTTTAAGAAAGGGCATTATTGAATAAATGGCTCACATTTTGACTCATGGAAAGAACCCGCAACCTACCGGGCATGCTACAGTACAAAATAATGTCCTCAACTCTGACCATAACTTTGGAATTTTGTGTGGTGGAAGAGACTTCGAGAAAGTCAGGAATACCTTTTTCCTGTTAGGAAACAATATGTTGCTTGTGTTAGGACTCATGTTTATGAGCCTACTTTCTAATCTAGTTTTGATAATTAACAAACAATTTCTAATCTTGTTTTTTAGTATTTGTGTTTTTCATCCAACATGAATCCAGGTCGGAGGTTGGAAGGATTTGTCCCTTAACGATGATATTTTGGAGGTTGGAAGGATATTGAAACGAAGCCGTCGCAATTTCAAGTCAAGACTCATTATCACGCTTCATCCCGCAACCAAGATTGAGCATCATGAAGATCACTAGCTTGGTATAATGTTTTAAGTTTTAGTTGTGTACTTTATGTTACTTTAAACTCAAATCATACTCGTACACGTTTTCTCGATTTATCGTATCATACATCCATTTAAGAATATATTGTATTTTTGGATTATTAACTTAATGAAAACTTTTACATCTTTTTTAAAGTCCATTAATCCAATAAAAAGAATTTCAAAACTTGTTTGAAATAATTTCATCAAAATCAAGTGTTTAACAAACTCGTATTTTTGAACGTTTTACAAAATGATGAGTTTTTTCACAAATAAAAAATGTTATTTTAGAAATTTCTTTTCTAACATGTTTATTTTCATATATATAAACATTTCCCCAAGTTTTACTATTTTTGGAGTTGATTTACTATTTTTTATCGAATTTAGAAAATCAAGCTTTTAGCAGTTTAAGTATTTGAAAAATCAACTGTGGTCGACCGATCGGCTCCACCAGTCGACCGATCAAAAGAATTTTTCAGTGTCTGATTTTTCAGTCTTATCAGTCCACTGATTTATTAAATCAGTTGACCGAGCACAGTGTTTTCAGTCGACCGATTTTTCTTATCAGTCGACCGATTCTGGTTGTCTGCCTTTGTATATTGTAACGGCTATTTTATTAGTCAGTCGACTGATCTGCCTTTTTTATTGTAACAACTAGTTTTTGGCTGCTTTAATTTTGAGGCTATAAATAGGCCTCAAGCCTTAATTTTTTAAAAGTTTTTTTTATAAGAGTTTACAAGGGAGTTTTTTCGAGTTTGTTTTAAGGGTTTTGAGAAATATCAAGTTTGCAAAAAGAGTTTTACAAAGAGAAGGATTTCAATTGCAAAAAGAGTTTTACAAAGAGAAGGATTTCAATTTCGATGTTGAGGAGTTCAACCTCAAATCTCTATATCTACATCTTTTTGTTTAGAGAAGTTTTTTTAAACTCATTCTCTAGCTAATTTATATTTTGATTATCATTTATAAGCTAAATTTATTTGAGTTTAATTTCACTTTTACTCATTGTATACACACAACCACTTGAGAACGAAGAGAAAGGTAACACGGGTAGGCCAACACTTAGAGGAGTGTAACTTGTGGGATTGATAACGTGTCTTATAAGTGTTATCGGTGAACGTTGAAAACCGTTAGTGTAGTTATTTTGTGAAATAGTGGAGAATCTCCTTGAGCGAGGAGTGGAGATGTAGATCGTGAGTTGACCGAACTCCGTGACCAAATCTTGTGTTTGGCTTTGGCGTATATTTTCTCTTATATCTTGTGCTCATTGTTTATATTGCCTATTGTCATATTGTTCATTGCATATCTTGCATATAATTTGTTGTACATCATATTGTTAGGATATTACATTGTAAAATTTTAATTTGGCATCGATATCGGATAAGATTAGCAATTACCCTATTCACCCCCTCCCTCTAGGGTACTTTCATTTGATATCAGAGCTTGGTGCTCTTGATTTGTGTGCTAAATCGCCTTGAGTCAAAAATCCTCGCTCTATATTTTTGCTAATCTAGTTTTGTAATTTTTAATTACTTGCATAGTCTTCATGAATATACACGGTACACCTAGTTTAGAATATATCATAGATATTGCTCCTAAATTTAATGATTTCCCTTATGCTCAATGGATGTTTAGATTTAAACTATTTGTTAAATCTAAACATATTGATTTGTGGGAAGTGATTGATTGTGCTTATGTTTTGCCACGTTGGAGAAATCCAAGTGGAGCAATGATGATAAAAGGATGTTTATTTTGAACAAACTCTAGTTAGAATTTTTGCTTAATGCTTTTGATCTATCTAATATCTAACAAACTTGCTTCTTTTGATAGTGCCTACACATTGTGAAAACATATAGAGACACATCACGACAACTTAAAGGAAATCCAACGCATTCCGGTGAATTCTGCTTCAAGAGAGATTGGAGTATCTTCATACACACGACCACTAGACGATTGCCCTAGTGAGGTATGCGAGTCTGAATCCGAAAGTGAATTTTCTATTGATGAACTCGCTTGTACATATGAGAGATTAATGCATGCCTACAACAAATTGCATCATAATTTTGAAAATTTGCAAATCAAGCATGTAAACCTAAAATCCGATCATAATTTGTTAGCAATTAAATTTGATATCATTGCCAAAGAAAATATGATTCTTAAAGATAGCAATGATAAATTAAAATTGGATATTGCTAACTTATCTCGTGATAAGAATGATGCCATATTAGAAGTAAAAACAATTAGAAATAAATTTAATTCTTATAAAAATAATCATGTTTGTTCTACTTCTATTGCTAATGCTAGTGTGCAAAATGATGAGTTAAATCACATGAAAAATCGTATTTCTTTTTTAGATTCAACCTTAACAAAATACATGACAACAATAAGAAACTTATGAACTTGTGTGCAAAGTCACGTGCCACTATTTCTAAACCACCCGTACACTATGCACACATGTATAGTAAATTTTATAAATGCTCCATTTTCGATCGTAAAAACCATCTTGCTAGATTTTTTTATAATGCACAAAAACCCATAAATACCAATGTTATTGCTCATTGTGCATCTCACAAAGTTTTTTCATCACATACACACACATGCACACATTGTTCATCATAAACATAATAGTGTGTTTAAATGTGATTTTTGTGGTAGACTTGGTCATTTGGCCATATTTTGTTTTGTTTTGAAAAATTTTACATTTACAAAATGCTTTAAAAAGACCACCTTTATTTGCAAATATTTCTTGTGCACAATCAAAAAGGCATCATAAATAAGTGCATTCATTCCATTGCACTTATTGCAATAGGATGGGTCATTTGCGAAATTATTATTATGACCGGACATGTGCACTAAATGCGTCCAAATGAGATCATAACCCAAGGGTTTTGGATTTAATTGATAGGGGTCATGTCCCTAAACTATTCGGCATCAAGAGTGTTTGGGTGCCAAAACATGTTTAAAATTTTAAAAATAAGTTTATTGCATTTCCGGTTTTATGATTTTAAAAGATGATTTTTGTTCATTTTTTTTGTAAACAAATTATAAATATTTGTACAAAATATTTAAAATAAAATATTTTCATCATATTTAGAAAAGAACTTTATGTGTGTGTGTGTGTATATATATATATATATATATATATATATATATATATATATATTCATTTTTAATTATAATATAAATGGTGTATTAAGTTTTTTCAATATTGGTTTAAGTTTAAAAATGCATGAGATTTCAGTGTGTCATCAGTCGGCTGATTTTCTTCATCAGTCGATCGATGATTGATACTCAGTCGACTAACCAGTGCATTTTCTGAATTTTCCTGAGTTTTTGTTATTAGATCTTTGTCTTCAAACCCGACCCATTTAATACCCGTTTATACTTTCCTTTAATCCTATCCATTGACTTATTGGTTGAACAAATCATGGCCTTCAAACTCTATATATATCAACAAACCAAACCAAAACTCTCACTTCCAAAATTTCTAGTCGCTCAAAACCCTAGTTGCTGATTCCCGACCGGTCAACCGACGGATCCCACCAGTCAATCGATCGCTGCTGCCTAGAGGAATTCTGCTGCTCATGCTTGGTAAAATCCTTTCCTCTCTTTTCAGCTTGTTTCTATATTTAGTATTGTCTAAGATCAATATTCTCTTGATCATGTCTTTTCCTAAACGATCTATAGACATAATAGAGCTGATGATTCCGCATCTTATGTTTCCAATTCCCAATGCTACCTTCATAACCCACATATAATTGACAAATATCAAAATATTTGTAAATTAAGCAT